TCTTGAGTATTTCCTCATTTGTTGTTTGGGTTGGAATTTCACTGCAAAAAAAAATATAAGAAAAATCAGCTATTGTAGCTGCTTTGATAAATCTCACATAATGCAGAATCGGAGCCACGTAGGCTATATCTGTGGATTCACCGAGATGCAGTGCAAAATATTGATTCTTCTTAACTTGTTTTATCAACTAGTCCTGTACATTTTCTGCAAGGTCATCAACGCATCAACAGATGGTATTATTTGACATAGAGAATGGTTTTCAGTGCCATGCCTGCTTGTTCCCCAGTCATAATTCTACAGATGTCTATTGCTGCTGGAAGTAGAAGCGTCTTTCAAATTGTGTGTACTTGTTTGCATTTTTCAGTTCGCATGGCCACAATATATGGTTCTAAAGCTTTTTGAGGAACAGTTGCTTCTTTAGACATGACTTCTTTCTGCCACTTTTAATTCTTCTTGTTTCCAAAGGAAACAAAATCACACTCTTGTTTATGAATTCCAGGTCAGGTGTATAGTTTCTAAATGTCTCTGTAGTTTCCCTGGCCTCATACTTTCACTCACTGACACTTGAAAACAAATGACACATTGTGGCTGTGGACTTTCCTCAGTGATATCGAGACATGAAAATCAAAATATAAAGTAACTATCATCATATTGTCTACTTTTCTTTCTTTTCTGTTTAACTTTATTAAAATGGCCATCTTCTTCAGCCAAACGTTTTCTACATGTAGGTGAAAATCATTCTATTATAAAGATTAGACACACTTGTCTCTCCCTCAGGACTCACCTCCCCCCCCCCCTTCCTCTATCCACAAGTGCTGGTGCTGCTGGTACTGGGAAACTCTCTGTTCCCTCCACTCCAGCAGGGACCTTTCAATAGAGAGATTTCCTGATGAATGCTTCCCCCAGCAGGAACTCGCTCAACTGAAGGCCCCCTGCAGGAACAAAAAGTACAAAGGCACAGAGCCTGAATGTCTCACTGAAATTTTATAGCCAAGCCCCGTGAGCCCAAGTCAGCTGACACGGGATAGCCACGCATGTCTTATTACAGTGTAGACATACCCAGAGAAGCTCCCAGCCCAGGCAGCAGCAGCAGCAGCAGAAGAAGAAGACACAGACACATAGATAAGATGCAGGTGACATTTAAGGCTAGTTTAATAGTTTTTTAATTAAAAAAAAGATAAAAATGGGCATATTGATTAAAAATTTTCCCCAGACTTGTGGCTCCCCTATGAACCTATCGCTGGCTCACAGTTTGTGAAGTACTGTCTTGGAGGGAGATTGTCAAGTGCAAAACAACCAAAGTATAACATGCCCTCCAAAAAATAATGTTCGTTTCTTTAAAAGAGAAGCCAGAAACCCTCTAAAATAATGGCAGCAAAAGTGTTTAAATCTCCTATTTTCACTGAATGATCCACTGATAAACCCAAGATATTAGTCTGTTGCTATGCTGTTTTGTTATAGATGCTTGTTGACTTAGGCACAGCAAGAGAGAAGACAACGCACAGTACATTTGGTTCAAGAGGAGGTCACAACCAGTGGCCCATTTGGGGGCCCCTGGAAAAATGAATGACCTGAGCCCCTGCAGAAGCTGTGGGGCAGAAGCCCCTAGCCGGGGAGCCTGAAGCCCTGGCAGAAGCCATGGGGGTGCAGAAGCCCTCCCATTTTTAAAAGTGATGGAGCCATGGCCTCTTGGCCCCCCCATTCCAGCGCCCCGGGCTGAAGCCCTGAGCCTGGGCACCCCCTTCCCAAGCCCCGGCAGAAGCCACAGGGCTGAAGTCCCAAGGCTGGGTGCTTCCCCACAACCCCCTCCCACCCTCCCGCCCTAGCTCTGGCAGAAGCCACTGGGGTTTCGGGGCAGCTCTTACCATGGCCTGGCTCTGGGTTCTAGCCTGGCCAGGGGGAGGGGCCTCAGGGAGAGTAGGGGGTAGGGCCCCATCGTGGGGGAGGATGTGAGGGCTCAAATCTTCTTTGTGCCCAGGGTCCCAATAAATCTTAATCTGCCTCTGGCAGCAACATTATTGAACTTAAAACCGGGGGGGGGGGGTGTTATTTCCCCACAACAACTAACCAGGAACAAAAATGGTCAAGTGAGAGGTTTCATCCTAACACCAACAGGGGAACTCAGTCACCCCTTTCCTTGCATAAGGGCTCAGTGCCTGGAAGGAGCTTTGGAAGAGCCAGGGGGAGTCTTGAAGAGAGCTTCAGGGTTCTCCAGTAAAGGGACCAGAGCAGCTGTGGAAAAAGGACTATGGGGAACATCTGGGAGGCTCTGTGGAGAAAGTTTGGAGAGGAGGCCTAATAGGCAGGTGGCAGGCAAACAAACTTGTCATGCATCTGCTCAATAGCAATAGTTCTGCTGAACAGCAGAGGGCATTGTGATGAATTGCTAAGGGTGAATCTGTTGCTATTCTCACTCCTGACTGGAGGGTGATTGGTCAGCCAGAATAGGGAGGGGCAAATTCCATGGCAGTTGGCAAGGAGTGGGTCACAGAGGCAGGGGGTCTGGGAGAAGTGTGGTGGTTGTAGCCATCTGACAGAGTGCTATTTGTTATCCACCAGGAGCTAGAGCCTTAGCCTGAAGTGCCCACAGCGCTTGCCTGATTAGTGGTACAGAGAACACACTACCAGGGACTGTTCCAGGACAAAGGGTGGTGACCACTGCATACCAGAGACCCCAGGAGGTGGCAGCAATTACACAAGTATAGGAATTAGCCCTGGGAGGGAAAGTGAAGTGGGAATGGTAAGGCTGGAGGAGACAGCTGTTCCACTGTTTAGGTCCTGAGGGCTAGAGCCTGTGGTAGAAGAGGGAGAACATAGGTTCCATTATGATTCAATAGTGCCACCTTGAGGTTGTGTGCTGATACCCCCGTAAGAACAGAGCTGCATCCCTCCAACCCAGGGTTGAAGACCTAGTTTGGGATGCACCAAGGGAAAAAGTTTCCACAGACCCTTGAGGCATGGTTGTGGCTGTGGCCCAGAAAAAACTGGTGGAAGATTTTTTGGTTTGGATTGTTGTTGTATTGGGCTAGTGTTTAACCTGTCTGGAATTTTTTGGTTTGGCTGGTGGACTAAACTAATCAATCACTGAGAGGAAGACTGCCTAGCAGTAGGGAAACTGAGGCAGCTGCCAACCCTGATGATGGAAAGGTAAGCCACCTTTCTACAATGATAATTTGACATTTATGTATTATGAATGATGCAAGAAAAAAAAATCACACACACCAGAAATTAAAATAAAAAGATAACACTGAGGACTAGTCTAATTAGAAAATGTTTACCAGTATAGCTATACAAGTATAAAAATCCTAGTGTAAGCACAGCTTATATTGGCAAAAGAGTGCGTTTGCTGGTGTAGTGTTGCGGTTCAAATACAAGACAGCACAAAGCTTTAAGCAAGCAAGCAGGCTGGTCTGCCAACGGGCTGCTCCTATCAGCTTTCCACCCTCTCCTTTATTCTTTCTCTCCCCCCGCGCATTACATTCTCCAACAGATAAAAGGAATACACTGGCTTTGTTTAACATTCTTATTTACCAATTTCTATCTACCGCATTCCTTGCTCTCGGGCCTTGAGCCGAGTCCCGGGAGGCTTCCCACGGTTCATGTCATCTGGGCGAGATTCCAAGGTTCATGCCCTTGAGAGGAGCCGTGTGTGCACTGCTCCTACACAACACTCCGGGCGTGCCCTGAGTGTTGCCAAGTGCATGAGCCTTGTATGAATGCTACAGGTGTAGCTTATACCAATTCCCTGAATGAAATAAGCTATACCAGCAAAAGCACCTTTTCCCAGAAAACTGTCTAAACTAAGGCTTATACCAGCTTTAAAATGTTGTAAAAAATGTATACCTCTAACCAATGTTATTATACCAGTAAAAGTGGAGCATTGTGGGAATGTTGGAAATATTTCTAATCAAGCTGTACCTGTTCTGTACAGTGAAGTCCTCCATCCATAGAACAAGTAGAGTGTGGCAAAAGTTAAACCAAGATCACATTGGTAGGGCAGTATATCTTAAACTTGACGGATCACCCCTTAATGTTGACCCTATCTCCAGATCCAGTTAGTCCTATACTCTCTGTTGAAGCTGTCCAAAAAATTGCATTTGGTGTCAGCTGGGGAAGCAGGGGAGGGTGTTTGTAGTGCACCTATGCAATAGGAACATAAGCACTGTGTATGGCTACGTAGCTCAAAATTTATGATCCTGTTTTCTGTACACTGCATCTCTAAATGTAAAGAGTCTCTGCTTGATTACTGTGTGAGTGAAAACATAACATAGATAGTGCAGAGGGCACTTAGATACACCACTATGAAGGGTATGGTATAAATGATTGATACTAAATTGAAGATTTCCCTCACACAGACTCCTAATGTAGAAAAAGTCAGTAAAATTTGTGGAGTACCCCAAAGAATCATCTCCCTAGTGCTCTTCAAAATCTTCAGGCTGGCCTTCTGCATAGCAGCATGATCATTGTGGAGAACAACTGGTAACCTTTGGAGTGAAGTTGACTGACAAAAACATGTTTTGCAGACCCACCAAAAGTTAGTAAGGATGATTCTGAACCGAAAAGAAATCAGAGATCTCAGCTCCTGGGAAGGTTTGGCAGGCGGGGGAGACAAGTCAGCCGCATTCTCCTAAATTTTCTGCTGTAGAAGATCCTCATAGCACAAGCCACCTAGTTTATATTTAGTCATGCTATGCTATTAGAGTGTTGCCTTGGAAAGGACAACCATGTAATAATAATGCTACAGTAATTTAATTAAGAAGTCCTTCCAGTTTACATCTCACCAATGAGCTTTTGTTAGGATGTACACAAGGGATCATTTGGTCTAATTTACATTAGCTGTCAATACCATGCAGAATACACAATATTTTTGTTCAAATCATGCAATATATATTTTTCTAAATTTCATACAAAAATTGCTTCAGATCATGTTAATATTTCAGGAAATGTAATTGTGATACTGTTGTTTTATAATTAAATTGATAATTACCCTTCTATATTATTTCCATTTGAGAATCTCAAAGTGATCCATGAATCAATTTAATCTTCCAAATTGTCTGTGTGATTTGATATTACTCAATTTTACAGGTGAGGGAACTGAGGCACAGGCAGGTATAAATGAGTTGCCCCAGAAATAGGAAGTAGAATCAGAAATAGGGCTCGGCTCTTCTTGACCACCCCTGTGTCTTAACCACAAGTCCATTCTTCCTCTCTGATGCTGTACATCTGCTGGGTCTTCAGATATTTACTTGTAGTTATCTTTAATGCTGTAGTTGAAAACCGTACTCCAAAACCTTATGAACAATTAAGATCTGAGAGAATACAGGTGTTTATTATTTCTTAGGCAATTTTTTTCTCATTTCCACATGCTCAGTGCATCTGCTTCACTTTGTATGTTTTTCAAAGAGACAAAATTGCTTTATGCCATCTGGAAAAAAAGGGAAAATATCTAAAACTGCTTAAACATTAATATTTGTATATAAATATATATGCAAGGAGTGAGAAAAATATATTACACAATACAGTTGGTTTGATCCTGCTCTCACTTAGGCCAACAAGAGCAAGGACAGATCTATTATGTTATTAGTATCTGTTAATGGTATTTTTATTCATTGGATTTCTCTATATTCTACTGTTTCCAACTTCTTGTCAACTCACCAGTAGTGATTCTTTAGCCATTAAGGCCTAGTCCTGCACCTTTAAAGTCAATAGAATTTTTGCCAGTGACTTAAATGGGAGTAGACTTTCAGTGCTATCATGTCTTTAAAAAAAACCAAGCAAATAGAGTATCCTGGTCTTTTCTGCCTAATGGATAAAAATGAATTAAAATAAGGTTTCAAATGTTTATTGTTTTACACATGATATAAGAGGCTTTACAGTATTTGATTGCATATGTGTATTTAAAATTATGTATCTATATAAATATTGCAAAAAGGTGTGCTTTGTCCAGAAAATGGATAATATGGCATAGCAAACACACAGATATACTCAGATTAGAAGACTGCATCTTTCATCTGAAGAAAATGAGTAAATATAGGAATCTGAAGTATTTTATTACAACAGACAACTATCATACATTATTCATGGCTGAAAAGGAAAGTAAACTGGAAAAAGAAAATTTGTTAATCTTTAAAGTTCTTGAAACTGAGAAAGCTCCTTTAGGAATCTCATCATAAATATCATCATATAATTAAAAGGGTTTAAGGTGGTCCATAAAGCTGAGTGAATTGATGTCTCTCATATGCAGTATTTTAACCTGGACTTCAGCAGAGAAACCATAAACAAAAGGCTATAAAGGCATCAGATGAAATGAGTTCTTGCAAGCTCAGATCCTTGTGAAGACACACTTATCTTAAACTCACCAGGGACTCACACATGAAGCCATCAGCAACAGAAACCTGCAAAGTAAGAATGAATAATGATGAGAACCCAATTTACAGGTTAAACAATCTCTGAGTACTTTCAAGAAGCTAACACTGGTATAAAGTCTAATGTCTAAATTAGAAGCAGCAAAAGTAGAAAACAGAGAAAAGCTAGCACTAGAGCAAGTTAAAAATATTATTTTATTTTTTTTAAAGCTTTGACAAACTGGATATGTGAGTTAAAGCTACCTTAGTCTGAATGCATTGTCTTTTAGTGCTCTCATCAGATGTCTGTGGTGAGGGGAGAGAATGAGTCTGGACTTTACAGCTAGCACAATGAGAATTTCTTTTTAAAGTTTCCTAGTGTAGACATGGCCTGCAAGGGAGTTGGCAGTCACTCCTATTGTGTTTTGCCTTTGAGCAAAAAGGACATATATAAATGGGTTTATCACCAGACAGAAGGTGACTCTGGGAAAATTGGTAGTATCAATGGGGCCACAGCTAAAAAGGAAGACATAAGACTCTGTTGTCATCTTGCCTTGTTTGCAGAAAACAGGGACATGTCCATTCTACCTCTTGTTTTCAACAAATAAATACACTGAAGCCTTACAAGGAAAATCTACTCATCATTAAGTGTTTCCTTTACAACACTGCACCTTAAAGATGAAAATAAAATAGCAATGTTTTGTGCATGGTTTAGAGGAGTTCGCCTTTAGGATTTTAGGGCCAGAGTAGCAATGGTATTTCATTCTTTTTTTAAAAAAGGAATCATTCTACTTTTTGTAGAAGGTTGAAGGGAATTATCTTCAGCTTGACACATGTAGACCTAGAGTGTGCCCTTATTTCAACTTTCAGAAATTGTGAACTGACACCAAAGTATGTGGAGTGGTGACTTTTGAGGAAATGAAATGGACATTATTAGAAGCTCCAGAATGAGTAGACCTACCACCTATTTTTCATTAATCCAAGCCATACCAGTACAATACACCTCATTTATAGTGACAGCTTCTCTCTCATGCAGAAAATTGAGACATGTACCCTGTAGTTTATTAAACTTTTGTTGCGTTTTATCTGGTTAGAAAGGGAATGCCCATGCCATAAGCAATTTATGCACTGGAATTATTGGTTATTTTAAAATGGATTACATTTTTTGTAAAAGTTTGTAATTTAATCTGTGTTGTGGGATAGGCACAATTGAAAAATTACAGAATTTGAAATCTCAATTCAAATGAACCATTGCCATAATACTATGGTGTTCTCTAGTCTGTATATTCCACAGATAGAATGATAATGAATAAAGTAAATAAACAATAATGGGTCAAATCTGTAGACCATATATAAAATTCCCATTTTGCCTAAGTTAGGACTTCAGCTGCATACTGAATTGTAATATATAGCACTAATTCAGGGCCATCTTCCCCCTATACACATAACATCTTCTTGTAATTCTTCTATTGGTGTGGGGTGTGGAGTTTGGTATTTATTTGGAGTTTGCCCTCCCCTAGAAGAAGGTGAAGTTTTGACATCCTAAATGCAACATATCCCCAGTTTCATACGCCTCTCAGTGGTTCCCAGCTGTGTCTATTCCTTCAGGAGCTGTTCTGCTAACTATTCCCCAAAATTTGGTTGCCTCTAGAACCACCCTTGCCCCAACCAGAGCAAATTACTGCAGACTCTGCTAGGTCTATATTTAGAGAGGGAGAAATTGGCAGAGACCTATGGTCCCTTTAAACCCTTCCATCTTATTTAGGGAGACACACAGAGCCCCCATAAAAGAGAATGATAGGAACACGCTGTTAGAAGCCACTTTTGCACCCACTCAGTCTATATTAGCAGGCACAGGCAATCCTCTTCACTTGTGGAAACAGAGGGGAAGGTGGGGGCCAGAGTGTTTCACATTTTTAAAGATGAAAGTACAAACAGTAACACCACTTAGTTGATATATCCTCTCTTTCACATAAGTTAAAAGCCAGGAAGGGGCTTTCACTTTGAAAGAATAGCTGTAGTTCTTAGTATTGAAGCAGATTATTAGAGGAGGGTTTGCAAGAATAACTGCTTAAAATGGTCACATTCAGATTAGACAAAAGAAATATAATTTGTATTTGTATAGAAGAAAATGGATGAATTTAAATTTTAGCTGATTATAATTATTGTCATCATAATCATCATCATTATCTTTGTATGTCTAAATGACTGATTCAAAGAAGAATTTTAACATATTTCACATGTCACTGTAATTCTTTTCTGTTTTGTGCTCCAGTGCTTCAGTTTTTTTATTTGCTTTCTTCAGCCTCTGAACTTTTCATGGAAGCTATTGTCATTTTTTCAGCATACAGGCATTTAGAAGAAAAAAAGCCCTTTGCAAATAAAATAAAGACAAGAAGAGATGTTTCATATTGAGTACATTTTTTGCATTTTTGTCAGTAAAAAATAACCATCTTGTATGGATAAAACTGATATTATGTGACAGCAGCTGCATATGCACTGCATAAAGAGGTTCAGAATAGTAGGGTTCCACCCTGAGCCCAGTCTTTGTGGCAAAACAGAAAGATGCTTTTAACAATGACTCAAGTCTGATACAGATCAGCAGCAGGACCAATATAGACTTTGCTTCATTCAGGTTAAGGCAGAATAAAGTATAATCTCCTATTTTAATTAGAGTTGCAGGAAATCAGGACTTGTGAAACAGGCCCAACATACCCAGCAGTTAAGGCATGTAAAAATGGAGGCACCTAAAATCTGTGGCCACCTTTGAAAATGTTGGAATAACTATATTTATGGAGTCAATATTTAATCCTTGGTCTAGTGTGCAATAGCAGTAAGGGCCCCAATAGGGAACTGTCTTGTATTAAGTATCTGTGTTATAGGAATATTGGGCTATTACTTCATAACGAATATATCGAATCAAAAAAAATTTTGATAAAATTTTGTATAAAAACTAGTTGAGGTTGCTAAGTGCAAATGTACTTAGTTCTCACAGCTTACAAAATCCAAACATATTAAAGTATGGAAATGAATAGTTACATACATCATAGATCCTATATCACCAACAATAAATATAAACACAAATTTTGTTCTACTTTGTATTTATAGACTCAGACTCATAGACTTTAAGACCAGGAGGGACTATCATGATCATCTAGTTTGACCTCCTGCACATTGCAGGCCACACAACCTCACCCATCGACTCCTGTAATAGACCCATAAACTTCTGGCTGAGTTACTGAAGTCCTCAAATCATGATTTAAAGACTTCAGGTTACAGAGAATCCACCATTTACACTAGCTTAAACCTGCAAGTGACACATGCCACATGCTGCAGAGGAAGGTGAAAAACCCCTAGGGTCTCTGTCAATCTGAGCCAGGGGACAATTCCTTCCTGACCCCAAATATGGTGGTCAATTAGATCCTGAGCATGTGGACAAGTCCCAGCAGCCAGACACCTGGGAAAGAATTCTCTGTAGTTACTCAGAGCCCTCCCCATCTAGTGTCCCATCACTGGCCATTGGAGATATTTTCCACTCGCAGTAGCAGTTCAGTGTGGTGGGGCGGTGCCCCACCCCCATGCCGTATTGGGCTACAGCAGGCCAGAGCGGCTGTGCAAGGCGGCAGCCAATCAGGGAGGGCCTGTTAGAGAGCCAATCAGGGTGAGTATTACAGCCAGCCAATAAAGGCTGCCCAGGAAGGAAGCAGGCAGTCTCTTCCAGGCCTTCAGAGGCTGAAGGTGTGAGCAGACTCGCGCAGTGCGGGCCGGGGGAGCAGAAGGGAACTCCTGCCCGGTACCTGCTGGGCTGCGGACCCTGAGAAAAAGCCCCTAGCCGGTGCAAAGGGGAAAAGGCCCAGGGAGAGAGACAGACAAAGGGAGAGAAGGAGGGCCGGCAGGAAGGCTGCTGCCAAAGGGTCCCTGGGTCGGGACCCAGAGTAGAGGGTGGGCCTGGGTCTCCCCCTTCCCTCTTGCACTTCCACCTGGCCATTAGGAGTGGCCATCATGGACTGCACCAGACCCCTGCCAATAGGGGTTAGACTTTGGGGTGTGGTTGGCCATTGTGGCTGGGGCGAAGAGAAGGACTGCTGATAACGCCAAATCCCTAGAAGGGGGTGAGACCGGAGCAGTGGGCACTGCCGGAGGTCAATGTCCTGAAGAGGATGCTGGGAGCAACGTGGGTCGAGACACCAATCTAGGGCGAGAGATGGACAGGACACCACCGGCAGAGGGCACTCTGCATGAACTGAGCTACTTCCTGGAGTCAACAGCAGGAGGTGCTGCTGTGGTGAGTCCCAACCCCATCACAATTAGCAATATACCATTGTAGGCAGTCTCATCATAATATACCCCCCATAAACTTATCAAGCTCAGTCTTGAAGCTAGTTAGGTTTTTTGCCTCCACTACTACCCTAGGAAGGCTGTTCCAGAATGTCACTCCTCTGATGGTTAGAAAACTTCGTCTAATTTCAAGCCTAAACTTATTGATGACCAGTTTATATCCATTTGTTCTTAAATTAACATTGGCACTTAACTTAAATAACTCCTCTCCCTCCCTGGTATTTATACCTCTGATGTATCTATAGAGAGCAATCATATCTCCCATCATTCTTCTTTTGGTTAGGCTTAACAGACAAACTCTTTGAGTCTCCTCACCAAAGTTAGGTTTTTCATTTCTCTGATCATCCTCGAAACCCTTCTCTGTACCTGTTCCAGTTTGAATTAATCTTTCTTAAACATGGGAGGCCAGAATTACACACAGTATTCCAGATGAGGTCTCATCAGTGCCTTGTATAATAGTACTAACACTTCCATTCCCAACACTCTACTGGGAATACCTCACTTGATGCATCCTAGGATTGCATTTAGCTTTTTTTTCATGGCCACATCACATTGGTGGTTCATAGTCATCCTGTGATCAACTAATACACCTAGGTCTGTCTTCTCCTCTGTCACTTCCAACTGATAAGTCCCTAGCTTCTAGCAGACATTCTTATCGTTAGTCACTAAGTAAATAACCTTGTGCTTTGCACTATTAAATTTCATCCCATTTC